ATCAACAGAATCCCCCAGTTTAACATAAACAGAACCCCCCAGTTCAACATCAACAGAACCCCTATGTCAACATCAACAGAACCCCTTGTTCAACATCAACAGAACCCCCAGTTCAATATCAACAGAACCCCTGAGTTCAACATCAACAGAACCCCAGATCAACATCAATAGAACTCCCCAGTCCAACATCAACAGAACCCCGCAGTACAGCATCAACAGAACCCCCAGATCAACATCAACAGAACCCCCAATTGAACATCAACAGTACACCAATTTGAACATCAATAGAACCCCCAGCTCAACATCAACAGAATCCCTAGCACAACATCAATAGAACTCCCTAGTTCAACATCAAGAGAACCCATAGCTCAACATCAACAGAACCACGTAGTTCAACATCAACAGAAACCCTAGCTCAACATCAATAGAACTCCCTAGCACAACCTCAATACAACTCCCTAGTTCAACATCAACAGAACCACATAGTTCAACATCAACAGAACCCCTAGCTCAACATCAATAGAATCCCTCAGTTGAACAGCAATAGAACCCCTAGTTCAACATCTTCATAACCCCCTAGTTCAACATCAACAACCCCACAGTTCAACATCAAAAGAATCCCCAGTTCAACCTCAATAGAACCCTTGATTTCAACATCAACAGAACATGCACAATAACATCAACAGAATCCCCTAGTCAAACATCAAAAGAATCCAAAGCTCAACATCAACAGGACCCATATCTCAACATCAACAGAACCTCTTAGCTCAACATCAACAGAACCCCCAGTTCACCATCAACAGACCTCCCCAGTTCAACATAAATAGAACCTCCAGTTCAATATAAACAGAACCCCGAGTTCAACATAAAGAGAACGCCCTAGTTCAACATCAACAGAACCCTCCAGATCAACATCATTAGAACTCTTTAGTTCAACATCAACGGAACCCTGAGTTCAATGTCAACAGAACCCCCAGTTCAAAATCATCAGAATGCCCTAGTTCAAAATCAACAGAATCCCCAGTTCAACATAAAGAGAACCCCCAGTTCAACATCAACAGAACCCCCCAGTTCAAAATCAACAGGACCCCCAGTTCAACATCAACAGAACCCCACCGTTCAACATAAACAGAACTCCCAGTACAACATGAATAGATCCCCCAGTTCAATATAAACAGAACCACCAGTCTAACATCAACAGAACCCCCAGTTCAACATCAACAGAACCCCCAGGTCAAGATAAACCGAACCCCCTGTTCAATGTCAACAGAACCCCGCAGTCCAACAGCAACTGAATTCCACAGTTGAACATCAACAGAACACCCAGTTGAACATTAAGTGAACCCCCTGTTCAACATCAAGAGAACCCACATATCAACATAAAGAGAACCCCCAGTTCAACATCAATAAAACACCCCAGTTCCCACCAACAGGACCCCCAGTTCAACAACAACAGAACCCCCAGTGGAGCATCAACAGAATCCCCAGTTCAACATCAACAGAACCTGATGTGGGAGTGTTATATATCAATCTGTTAATTTCATTGGTTAAGTAACAAAGAAACTGCTTGGCCTCATAGGGCAGAATCTAGATAGGCAGAGTAAACAGAACAGAATGCTGGGACGAAGAGGAAGTGAGCTCAGAAATCATGCAGCTCCTCTCAGAGCCAGATGCAATGAAGCAAGCCGCCAGGCCAGACATGCTGAATCTTTCCGGTAAGCACACCTAGTGTTGCTACACAAATTATTAGAAATAGACTAAATTAATACGTGTAAATTATCCCAGAAGAGGCTAGAAATAATGGGCCAGGCAGTGTTTAAAAGAATACAGTTTGTGTCTTGTTATTTCGGGTAAAGCTAGCCAGTGCCTGGGAGCTGGGTTGCAGGAATGCAGCCTGCAACTTCCAACTACAAGAATCCCTAGCTCAACATCAACAGAACCTGTAGCTCAATATCAGTAGAACTCCCTAGCTCAACATCAACAGAACTGCCTAGTTCAACATCAACAGAACTCCCAGTTCAACATCAAAAGAACCCCCAAGTTCAACATCAACACAACCCCCAGTTCAACATCAACAGAACCTCCCTGTTCAACGTCAATAGAAGCCCCTAGTTCAACAACAACAGAACCCCAGTTCAACATCAACAGAATCCCCCAGTCCAACATCATCACAACCCCCAGTTCAACATCAACAGAACAACCTAGTTCAACATCAACAGAACCCCCTGTTCAATATCAACAGGACTTCCAGTTCAACATCAAAAGAACCCCCAAGTTCAACATCAACACCATACCCAGTTCAACATCAATAGAACCTCCCTGTTCAACTTCAATAGAACCCCCTAGCTCAACATCAATAGAACCGCCTAGTTCAACATCAACAGAACAGCCTCTTCAACATAAACAGAACTCCCAGTTCAACATCAAAAGAACCCCTAAGTTCAACATCAACACAACCCCCAGTTCAACATCAACAGAACCTCCCTGTTCAACTTCAATAGGAGCCCCTAGTTCAACATCAACAGAACCCCCAGTTCAACATCAACAGAATCCCCCAGTTCAACATCAACAGAACCCCAAGTTCAACATCAACAGAACCCCTAGATCAACATCAACAGAACACCCCAGTACAACATCAACAGAACCCACAGTCCAACATCAACAGAACACAGTTTTCAACATCAACAGAACCCCTAGCTCAACATCGACAGAACCCCAAGTTCAACATCAACAGAACTGCTAGATCAACATCAACAGAACCCCCTAGTTCAACATCAACAGAACCAGTAGCTCAATACCAACAGAACCACCTATCCCAACATCAACAGAACCCTCATTTCAATATCAACAGAACCCCCAGTTCAATATCAACAGAACCCCAATTCAGCATCAACAGAACCCCCAGTTCAACATCAACACAACTTCCAGTCCAACATCAAGAGAACTCCCAGTTTAACATCAATAGAACCCCCAATTCAACATGAACAGAACCCACATTTCAATATCAACAGAACCCCCGAGTTCAGCATCAACACAACTTCCAGTTCAACATCAACAGAACCACCCAGTTCAACATCAATAGAACCCCCCAATTCAACATCAACACAACCCCCCAGTTCAACATAAACATAATTCCTAGGTCAGCATCAACAAAACCCCCCAGTTCAACATCCACAGAACACCCCAGTTCAACATTAATAGAACCCCCTAGTTCAACATCAACGGAACCCGTAGCTCAACATCAACAGAACCCCCCAGTTCAACATCAATAGAACCCCACAGTTCAACATCAACAGAACCCCACAGTTCAACATCAACAGAACCCCCAGTTCAACAGCAACAGAATCCCCAGTTCAACATCAATAGAATCCTCTATTTCAACATCAACAGAACCTTCTAGCTAAACATCAATAGAACCCCCTAGTTCAACATCAACAGAACCTGTTACTCAACATCAACAGATCCCCCTAGTTCAACATCAACAGAACCTCCTAGCTCAGCGTCAGCAGAACCCCTATCTCAACATCAACAGAATCTTCTAATTCAATGTCAACAGAACCCTTAGCTCAACATCAACAGAACCTCCTAATTCAACATCATCAGAACTCTCAGTTCAGTATCAACAGAACCCCCAGTTCAATATCAACAGAACCCCCAATTCAACATCAACAGAATTCCCATTCAACATCAACAGAACCTTCAGTTCAACATCAACAGAATCCCTATTTCAACATCAACAGAACCCCTACCTCAACCTCAACAGAACCCCCTAGGTTCAACATCAATGGAACCCGTAGCTCAACATCAACAGAACCCCCTAGCTCAACATCAACACAACCCCCTAGTTCAACATCAGCAGAACCCCCTAGCTCAGCATCATCAGAATCCCTAGCTCAACATCAACAGAACCATGTAGTTCAACATCAACAGAACCTTCTAGCTCAACATCAACAGAATCCCCCAGTTCAACATCAATAGAACCCCACAGTTCAACATCAACAGAACCCCACAGTTCAACATCAATAGAACCCCCAGTTCAACAGCAACAGAATCCCCAGTTCAACATCAATAGAATCCTCTATTTCAACATCAACAGAACCTTCTAGCTCAGCATCATCAGAACTCCCTAGTTCAACATCAATAGAACCCCCAGTTCAACATCAACAGAACCCTTCTTCTTCCCTGCCTCTGTTCCAAGCATTTGATTCGAGTCTGCTTGAGTTTGTTTCATCTGCATTTAGAGGTCATGCTTCTGGATCACATTTCTACATGTAGATCTTTCCTTTTTGCTCACGACGTTAATGCAAACCTCCAAACCAATGGGCTAGATGTCACATTGCTAAGAACAGTATTTCTCTTTGAATAATCACTGCAAGAACTCATTGCGATGCACTAGTTAAAAAGTAGTGGCCAGCAAATTCAATTCATGGGAACCCTGTTGAAAAAGGCTGCCATGATAGTGTGCATCTGTAATCCCAGCACTCTTAAAAGATGGGTGAGAGTCAGACAGGGGAATCACCTAGAAGCTGAAGGCCAGCTTTCTGGAGTACAGTGGAGTCAAGAGAGACCCTGCTCACCAAGGCAGGAGAGCAGTGACTCCCCAAAGCTGTCTTCTTGCCTCCAAATGCAAGGCATGGTACATGTATATCTGTTTTTTCTCTCTCTCCCCTTTCCATGCCTCTTCCCTCTCTCCATCTCTCTTTCCTCTCTTCATCTCTCTCTTTCTCTGTTTCTCTCTCACCCACATATAACATGAACACACAAATACCAGTAAACAAAGAATGAGTGACCCAAAGAGAGAAGACATAATTGAGTCATGAATAACATATCAAGGGGGCAACATGGGAACCCACACAACCAATCTCATCATGATATATACTAGAACCATGAAGCATACTCAAGTCCTGACTCTCTAGCCCCTACTCTGTCCTACCTGACGGCTTCTCTAGAGAAGTCAAGGTTTCACGAAGTGAGGCTGATAAACCAGACTTGATTCAGGGTCAATTATCCTTGTCTGGGTTCAGAGGAACTGCTGAAACCAAACCAGCGACAATCTCCTGGTCAAGTTCTCTGGACTTTTCAGTTAATGTTGGCACTGTGTGACGGATGCTGCAAACAGTTAAGACCCAGGCAGCAGGAACGTTTGCGGTCCCAGGGCTACCCATGTTTCATGGATGACAAGAAGGCATGCATGTACGGCTTATCAGAGTGTGATCAGGATGGGGAAGGTGCTCTCGCCCACAGACTAAGTGTACAGCAGCACCTTCAGGGAGCCCCAGCTAAATGGACCATTCACTGGACGGCACATGATCTTTCAGCACAGTTTCAAGACTTAAGTGGCCCAAGTTTACTTTCCTTATAGTCAAGGAAACCTGGGCTAAATCAAGCATGACTTCAATACCAGCTAATTGGCTTTAAGTTTAGAGCTCAAGAAAGCAAAGGCTGGAGCACTTTTTTCAAGTAGTTACAATTTAGGAGACTATACAGACTACACCTTGCTCAGACGCTCAAGGCCAAAGTCATGCTACATTGCCAGGCTTTCTCTTAAAATTTACAGTAGGGGCTGGCGAGATGGCCCAGAACTCAAGGGGATTTGCTGTTCTTCCAGGGACCAGTTTGATCCCCAAGGTGTAATCACTGCAAAGCTCACCGTCCCTTGGATTCCCCATTGGAGGAATCTGACACCCTCTTCTGGCCAATCTGGGCACTGTGCTCATATGAACCGCCCCCACCCACAATTAAAAATGAAAATATAAAATTTGTTACAAAGAAACAAGAAAGAGAGAGAGAAAGAAAAAAGAAAGGAAGGAAGGAACAATGTAAGGAAGGAAAGATACAATGGCTTTGGCCCTGACTGTTTTCTGAGTTAGGGCTAATCACATCTTCTTCTAAAATTCTTGGAGTTTTGTGGTCTACAATGGTTTATGCTTATTTCACCTACAGGACTTTTGTTCCATTTAAAATGCAAATACAACAGATATAAACAGAAATAAAACAGATCCATTCATTATAGATACATCAAAGGTAGATTCAATAGAAAGAACTTAATAATTTCCCACATTCTTCCTAAAAATAATTTATTATGAGAGAAATACATGGTTCCCTTTCTAAATTAAATGATTTAAAATGTGGGGACAGAGAGATGGCTCAGCAGTTAAGAGCACTTGCTGCTCTTCCAGATGATCAGGGTTCACATCCCAACAGCCACATCAGGAGGCTCACAATCACACGACACTACAACTTCAGGAACCAATGATCACTTTTCTCCTCCGTAGACACCCACATACACATAAAATAGACATAAACCTTTTTGAATATCTTCATGACAAACCAGAAAGTCAGTATCATTTAATATTGGCTTGAGTTGCAAAACCGATGGAGATGCTGATCAATAAAAACTTACCTGATAGCCCCTTGTGGCTTTTCAGAAAGCTCTTGGTCGCCCTCCTTTCCTGCAAAGAGAAAATAGAAAAAGGTTCTGGTGACTTGGAACTGGAAGAGGTGGTGCTATGTGCATTCTTCCCAAAGCCTCTATAAAATCACAGTATAGGGATTAAAAAAAAAAAGTGTTGCACATAACATTGAGGAAGGGGAAGAAAACTGACAAGAAAGAATGTCAAGATGGAAAGCAGATGTCAAATGGCAACCGTGCTGGCAGGTCCTGGGAAGCGGAAACCTAACTGCGCGACCAGGAAAGGCCAACAGACAGCAAGCAGAGCTGGCAAGCGGAGCTGTGCTCCAGAAAGAACTCAGGGCCCAAAGGTGCCAGGTAACTCTGAGTGGAGACGTGGGGGGGGGGGGGCAGCACAGACCTGCATTTTCCACCCTCACCCCAGAGAACCACATGGATTCCCTGCCCAGAATGGGAGCAGGATGCTCACCCTCTGCAGAGACAGTCATGGAGACTCAGGGCTGAACAGCAGCATGGAGGACAGAGAGTGGGAAGAAGTAAAGACTCCTCCTCTGACACAGGAAAAAAACCAAACCAAAACAGACTTTATCCCAGTGAGAGAAACAAAGATAAAAGCTTCAGAAATTCCTGAAGGAACTGAAGGATACTGGGAAAGATCAGGGGGAATAGAAAGACACACCATGACACCAAGAGACAAGCAGAACACACTACAGCTGCCTTGGCATTGGTCCCTGGTGGAGGAGAGGATGCCGAAGGCCTAAAACAGACAGGCAGGCCTACCTTCAAAACAAGCCCACTGTTCCCACAGGCCTCAAATCTAGTTGCAGGTGTTGGCGCAACAGTGATTCCTTGGAGTAGCGTCAGTGGAGGAGAGATTCCATGTTGTCATGCAGCAGTGGGCCTTTCTATTGTTAGCAACTGAGATTAGGGAAGGTCCACAGGTTGGAAAGACTCTTAGGGGCCTGTCGTGGCCCCTGGGGGAGGGAAGACACAGAGGGACAGCGGAAAGCATCAGGGCCAGACTCTGAGGATGGACAGGGGCAGGCAGCAGGAGGGGAGCTCAGGCTGGGACAAGGAGGAGGAGGAGGAGGAGGAGGGCGAGAGCCTGACCCCCTGGAGTCTAGGAACACAGGTCATCAACTAAGAAGGCTCTGGCGCTTGGTGGCTTTGAGCCTGAGGTCAGGAGGGGGTCAAATTCTGAAGTCATGCAGTTGTCACTCATGGGGCGGAGCCTGAGAATTCTGAAGTCCCAGTCCACAGCAGCTTTCTCCAGCAGAGAAACCAACACTGGGGAAGCCCTGGAAGTCCAAAGGCAGGTCCTTTGCTTGTACACATCCTAGTGCTGTTGTCACTTGCTATGCTCCGTGGGAGACACCCTTCGGCTAAAATGTCACCCAGGTCAAGGCCACACCTGTTAAACCTGCTCATTGTTCCAAAGCAGTTCTTCTACCAACTAGGGAGCAAATATTCAGACATACGAGCCTTGGAAGGCCATTCTCATTCAAACCACCGCCCCTATACAATTTTCTCCCCCCCCCCCCCATAATGTCCTTTATCATTCTCCACATTCTCTCTCCTCTCATGAGCTGACTTCCCGCCCCCACCCGCTTTCTCCTTCCCCTCCCTGCATCTCAGCCATCTACTCTCCCCACACCTAACTCATTTCTAATGTCGCAGCACACGCTACAGGAATTTTGTGACTTTGATTTTTGTAGTCATTGGTGCATATTAGTGAAGTGCAATCAATTTTAAGTGTCATAGATTTGCTCAACTCCTTGCTGGGCAAATACTTGACAAAAGCAACTTGAGAAAGGAATGATTTGGTTTGGCTCACAGTTTGAAAACACAGTCTTCTGTGGCAAGGAAGGCAAAAGGAAGAAGCTGGAGACAACAGTTCACATTGCAACCACAGTCACCTAGCAGAAGCAGCTCGTGTTGCATTCACAGTCACCTAGCAGAGGCAGCTCATGCTGCAGCCACAGTCACTAAGCAGAGAGTGGTGAAGGCTGGTACTTAGCTCATGTTCTCCATTTTATTCAGTTCAGCAGTCAGGGGAGTTTTTCCCACTTCAATTAACCTATACTACAAAATCTCTCACAGATAAGCCTAGAGATTTGTCTCTGAGGTAATTGTAGATCCTGTTAAGGTGACAACACACACACAAACACACACACACACACACACACACACACCACAGATACACATAGACATACGTGTATATGCATGCAGATTTGTGCACACATAGACACACACATATAAATACGTCACCACAGTGTATTTCCATGTTTTGTTGGTTGATGTTGCTGGTGCAGGGGTTTATCTTCTCCTGGTTGAGCATCACTGGGGATTCAGCTCCCAAGAGTATGTTGCTAAGAAAGATTACATGCCCGCATCCCAAATCCAGAAGCATTAACTAACCAACCATGTGAGGCAGACATGTGGGAAACTAGAAATGGTAACATGACTCCTACAAAAGTCCTTACCTCCTTGGTTCCTGCTGAAGTAAGGAAGATTTCGGGCGGAGATTTCAAAGATTTTACCTAAAAATGATCAGTGACCTGAGAGAGGGTGCAAACAAGTGCGTGAGTTCAATCCAGACACAGAGAAGAAAGTCAGCAACAGAGAAGACAGTGTCAGAAATCTGAATAAGAAACAAGCCATATGGTTGAAGAAAAAGTCAGTAACATGGAAGAAAACTTCATGTTTTCTTGAGATTAAATTGAGATTTTTAAAAAGAGAGTTTGAAGGTAGAAAAAAAATCAATGAATCAACATCATTTCTATGGAAAACATCAATAGACTCAATCAAGCAGAATAAAGAATGTCAAGACAGGTTGATGAAATGCTGTACTAATAAGAAAAGTATCAAATGGGATGTGATGGAATAACCATGACATCCACTGATACAGTCAGAGACAAAACCAGGCCAACAAGATGCTCAGTAGGTAAGGGTGCTTCCCGCTCAAGCCTGGAGTCCTAGGCTTGATAGATGGGCAGAACCCACATAAAGGTGGATGGAGAGAACCAACTCCATGAAGTTGTGCTTTAACCTCCACATGCATTCAGCTGTCTGTGAGTGTTGACACTGCACGCCCCACAATAACAATAAATGAAACTGAATCCAAAGACTAAGAATACAAAGAATAGAAAGATACATAGAGAATTGTCAAAGAAATGATAACAGGAAATTTCCCAAAACCAGAGAAAGAAAAACACATTTGAACACAAGCAGCATTTAGAATCCAAAATAGACATGACCAGAGAAGAACTGCACAATATTAGAGTCCAGATGTCAAAAATACAAAACAAAGACACAACATCAATAGCTGTAAGAGGGTGATACTACAGAGGCCAAATATCAGATCTCTCCGTGACACATTTGAATCCTTAAAAATAATTACCAACTGTCTTAGTTAGGGTTTCTATTGCTCTGAAGAGATACCATGACCATGGCAACTCTTTTAAAGGAAACCATTTATTGGTGGCTTACAGTTTCAGAAGTTCAGTCCATTATTCTTATGCTGTGACATAGTGGTGTGTAGGCAGACATGAGACTTTTACATCTTGACTTAGAGGCAACAGGAAGTGGTCTCCCTCATTGGGTGTGGCTTGGGCATAGGGAACCTCAAAGCCCATCCCCACAGTGACAATCTTCCTCCGACAAGGCCACACCTCCTGTTAGTGCCACTCCCTTTGGGGGGCCAGTTTTCTTTAAACCACCACACCAACCAAGACCGCTAAATCCATCAGTGCTATTAAAAAAAATCAGACATTTCAAGACAAATCCAAATAAAGCAGTTTTGTGGTCACTAAGTCAGCATTGCTAAAAGCACTAAAAGGAATTTTATAGAGAGAGGATTGAGCGAGACAATCTTCATTATGAGAGGATGGCATAGAATAGATTTCAGGGGGGGAATAATGGAACAAAGGAAAGCTGGGGGGAATCCATCAATCTCACACAGTAAGGCAGCAAACCCTTGGTACTAATAGAGGAAAACATAAAGAAAACAATAATCCAACCAACCAGAAAAACAATCAGGAAATTACAGAAATTAGTAAATCTTTCTATATAATAACACAAAATGTAAATGGCTTCAGCTCACCAATAAAGACACATAGACTGACTGGATTCAAAAGCTAAATGCAAACTTCTGTTGTCTCTGAGATACGCACCTCACTGGAAGACACCCACAGGCTGAAAATCAGAGGTCAGAAAGAAATCCAGCAAGTGCACAGAAACTAAAATCCTCTTGCATGGCAGTCTGATGGCTGATAAAGTGACTTCAGGTTGAAATGTGTCAGAGAGATAGAGACTGGCAGTAAGCACTACTAAAGGAGACAACCCGTCAAGAATATATAACAATTGTAAATACTTAAGTACTAAACCACGTGATGCATAGTTTTATAAGATAAACACCAATGGATGCAAAACACAGATGGGTGCTGATGCAGTAATAGTGGCAGATTTAAATATTCCACTCTTCTCTCTAGATTCATTCCAACTTAAAATCAACAAGTGAAACCCCAGAGTTACTCTATACTATAGGTCAAACAGACTAACAGTTACAGACTATTTTATCCAAAGGAAACAATATTCTTCTTTTGTCAGTAGCCTATTGAACTTTCTGTAAGTATGGAGATCATATTCTAGGTTGGAAAAATCAAGTTTCACCAAATACGAAGTAGTCAAAATAATCTCATATATTATTAAATTATAGTAGAGTAAAATCAGAAATCAATAGCAAGAAAACTGAAGAAACGACACAACTAAATGGAGACTGAACAGTGGATTCTCTAAAGGACTGGTGAGTCATTGAGGAAACAAAACAAATCCTAACCCAAAAGCGTCAGGTGGCGAGAAAGAGTGAAGATCATGAAAGAAATTAATGAAAAAAGAATAATGCATAGATTCAATCAAAGAGTTGGTTCTTTGAAAAATAAATATAAGATTGATGGATCCCTAATCAAATAACCAAAATAAAGAGAACATCCAAATTAATGGAATGAGAGATGTAAAAAAGGAGGTTAAGACAAATTCCAC